ACGTCATCATCTTCACCATGTACATACATACAAAAATTAAAACATAACCATATACTCATTGAGAAGAGTGCTGCTGTCGTCAACACAAAATGACATACAAAAAAACCATTACGACTGAAATTTGAAATTCTCCACGATCAACGTTCATACTTCCTCCACAGGGAGCAAAATAAACTTCAGTGTGCTTCACGAACCTTCTGTCTTTACATCCCATTCAAGCACATACGTGGTGTAAAACTAAAGACGCCGCGAGCTCATGTTTTGTTAATTATTTACGGCGTCAGCCTTGGAAATCTTCGAAATAACTAAACTCTGTTGAGGAGTAGAAGCAGTTTCCTGTTCATTGAACCTGAATTAAAAGTTAGCTCTGGGAAAACCGCTACATAACTGATACGAACACGATGAACGAACAAAAAAAAAATACTTTTTTATGTGGGTATAGATAACGAACGACCTCTGGTGATGGTGATGACAGATGTGTATTAATCTTCGTGGAGAATACTTCAAAAAACAATAAAGTCATTTAAAACTACCTACCGTGTTGTTTTATTTCCATATGCAAAACTTAAAAGACATCCCTCGTATATCCCTTGGAACAGTAATTCTTGTCCACATACTCGACTGACGAGACAAAAACATAACCCTCATTCTGAGGCATATGATTAATTATTCGTGATTTTTTAAAGAGGGAATTTCTATCGCATTCGCGGCACAAACGTCATCATCTTCACCATGTACATACATACAAAACATTAAAACATAACCATATACTCATTGAGAAGAGTGCTGCTGTCGTCAACACAAAATGACATACAAAAAAACCATTACGCCTGAAATTTGAAATTCTCCACGATCAACGTTCATACTTCGTCCACAGGGAGCAAAATAAACTTCAGTGTGCTTCACGAACCTTCTGTCTTTACACCCCATTCAAGCACAAACGTGGTGTAAAACTAAAGACACCGCGAGCTCATGTTTTGTTAATTATTTACGGCGTCAGCCTTGGAAATCTTCGAAATAACTAAACTCTGTTGAGGAGTAGAAGCAGTTTCCTGTTCATTGAACCTGAATTAAAAGTTAGCTCTGGGAAAACCGCTACATAACTGATACGAACTCGATGAACGAACAAAAAAAAAATTCCTTTTTTATGTGGGTATAAATAACGAACGACCTCTGGTGATGGTGATGACAGCGACTCCATTTCTTAAGGTTTGCCTAATCAACTGTAAAGTTAATGGGGAAATCTCTGAACAACTCTTGTTATCCCAAATAATAAATTGGGGCGCTTTGAGTGGCTTGCACGGCATTACCCTCTTTCCCTAAATGACTTAAGGTTCTAGAAGATACGAATGGACCCTGTTTTTGAATTAGACAGACTGGTAGCTACAGAAGAAGGTAACAAATCGAAAACTTTGTCATTTTGCAAACATTTCCGACACACTTAGTTCAGGATTTCGGCGGCCTCGGGTACATTTTCAAAATAACCAAGGTTTCCTTGGTTTTTGTTTTTGAAGTGTCGCTTCAAAATATAATATAAAAAAGAGAGATTTTGGATTTCTTTTAGTCCTACTTACACACTACAGGATACAGAGACACCCCAGGTGATACAGAGATCAGTGGCAATGTTTCTAAGGCATGAAGCAGATAACAAACAACACGAAACGTTCATATACATAACAAGAGTCACAAGCTCCAAGTGCTGAAGTTATAATTTCGAAATCGAAATAAAATTACATCTTCGGACTGTATTAGGATATTGACTTGAAATGATGTACATGTAGTACTAACAGCATATCCAAGACATACAGAAATGTTTCACAGAAGAAAAAAATGGCGTCAAGAAGGTTGAGTATAAAGGATTAAGTTACGCACGAATTAAATACTTTAAGACAAAAATTAGGCAGCAGCGGTGGCCGCAGTAGCAGACTCTTCGGTCTCCTAATCAGTCGCCGTGCGCTGTGCGGGTTCGAATCCCGTCCCAGGAGAAATGTTTCCCTTGGCTATGGATGTTTTATTTGTCCGTAGGTGGTAGACGGTCTCTGACTGTCGAACGCGGAGGTACCACCCTCGTCAGAGTCCGTGTGGCGTTCCCACTATAGCCCCACGGTACCCATGGGTGTTTAGGCCTTAGGCATTCGTGGTAGTTGGAATATGAAAAAAAAGTTACAAAGATGTACACAGAAAGTAAACGAATCAAATTAGTCAAACAGGCTCATACAATTAGTCTATAGATATTCTTTCCGTGTCCTGCCGGTAGTTACCGTCCATCTGGCAACGTTGCCCTTTCCATATCGTCAGACGCGGCAGTGCCCACAGAAGCACCACTGCAGTAAGAGCAGAAAACTATACCGGGCGGTGAGCCCACGTAGCGGAAGGAGACGCATATCGAAGACATTTCATTATCATTCTAGTTTTAAAGACAAATATACGAACGACGTGTGAAATATGGCTAATAGGTGGGTAGAATTATCGGGGTTCACAGTGTATGAATATATGAATATCAAAAATTGAGATATACGCTTCCCACCGCAACCCCCAATTTATAACCCCTACAAATTTATTTCTGCAAATGATCAGGTGCGTCTGAATCGTCAAAAACGAAGTTTAAGCGGTTTTTTTCATGTGTTTTTACCACTAGCTCTAAAATATCAAGTAAATTACAGTCGAAAGGGGACTCTCCTACTTGTCGAATAATGGTAGGTCTTTAATAGGATAACCCATCAAATAATATGGAGAAAATCATTTTTTGATCTGATACCTCGTAAGTTTTCTGTAATTTAGCGCTTAAATTCTCGATTTCCTTCTGGTCATGATTCCACTAATTATTCATATAGTGGCTATTTCGATTCTTGGTAACATAATTATGTCTTCATTTTAGATCAATTTGGCATCCTTCAACATCTCATTAATACGTTGATAATGAAACTCTCAATCATCTTGATCTAATACAACTTATCTAATTTATATCTCAAGTTCTGCTTCCATATTTGATGAGCTAATTACCTTTGAATTTTTAATTAATAATAACGAAATCAGTTCAATTTCATCCTTGATAGTTAATCATTTGGAAGACAGAGTAACTCAACTAAACAACCCAGCCTTCTCTTTTTTAAAGTAATATTTTTATATTGAGAGTTAATAAACTGATAATGATAATCTGCAACTCTCGATAATCAGTTGTTTCATTTCGTAGCCTTGTAGTTAAACTCCACTTAACCCTAACCGAGTGTCAGACTTTTACTTCAGCATCTCCAATATGACGCTCTTGAGAATGAAGTGCCTAGAGCAGTGTTAACAGTGATAAGGTCGTAGCTTTTGAAGTTTGTGCTGATCAGTTTTCAAAGATTAAATATATAACTAAAGCGTAATATCAACTAAGTGAGACCTTAGCGCGCGCCTATCTTAAGAAGCCTTCTAATGGAAGATAGTAAATAGGTAAGTTACCTCACCTGTTTTTCTCAAATCGCTATCACCTGATAAATTGATATTCGTCTTATTAACGATTTCAGTTATTCCGTTCTAATCGCACCAAGCTCACAATTACATGAACTTTAAGTTATTTTTGGAATGTCCGCTCGAATTCCGGTCTTTTCACTTATTAAGGCAATAACGGCAAACCTGATACAATATTTGAGGTGAGGTCTAGGCATTGTCCACAACACACCGGTTTAACAAAAATTAACAGTACTCAGTACATGTCAGTACTCTTCAACACTCGGCTGCTAATAAACGCAATATACTTTCTAAATATAGAGCTCGCATATAATAAACAGGAATAGACAGGTCTTAACATTATATATGTGCGTCATCACATATAATTCGTAAAAGTAGATGTTACCGAATATCTGTGGGTGATAGAAAAATTCTGTTTGATTTAAGGGTCTCAAAATACATGAGATACACCCAAAAATTGACATGTCACAAATCTTGTTTTTATCAGTGTAATCTGACAGGTCAATTTTTTCATGTTAGCTTGACGATATTCCTTGACTCCTCCCGTTTCCCTTTGTACTTCAAAAATGTTTCTGATCACATTCCGACTGTCCTTAGAACTCGTACCTAACTTGAGCATTCAGCGATAAACTCCCTTTTCCGGAGCTTTAAAGATTTAGTTTCTGCAAGTTCTTCATCTTCTACCATCTCTAATTCAGCCTTTATTGTGAGGAATGCTTGTTTAAAGTTTATTCCCGTATTAGCAACGCTACAGCATCCTAGGAGCATGCTAATCTAAATTATTTAATTAACTGCCGGAGTTATCCGAAAAGGCGAGTAAAGCAGGGAAGAGCAACTTTTCGCCCGGAACGTATACACACCGGAGCTGCCGGAGGATGCATTGTCGTCGTCCCTGGATCCAATCCGGAAACTTTTAATTCGCGCACAACGAACCGAAAACTCCCTCTTCACTCTATCCTTTACTTCTTCGCGGAGTTTACAGCACAAAGTTGTATCGGAGATTCCCGTGGCGTAATTCCGTCATAAACAATTAACAAAACATGAGTTTTGATGCCTTTAGCTAAACAGGTATTTCTTCTCGATTGGTGTGCGAATACAATAGAGCCCGTGTTGGATACTGAATCATATATCGATACTTCTTCCTAGGAGAAAAGTACGAATTGCTGCTGTGCTTTGGAAAAGCTGGATTATCTGTTTATTAGAGAATCTTTTTAGCATCCAAATTCCTAAGACTTCCAGTTACTTCATCAAGCTTACTAGACTCAAAATTATCAAATATATAACACCTCTTGTCTTCTGCAGCAGCTGGGAAAAGTTAAGGCCGCTTCCCTCGTTGTTTTTCTACATGACCACAAGAAGTAAGACTGACTCAAGAGTGCCTCTACGTTTTGATAACAAATAAGGATAAATTCCTGAAGACGTCGATGATAAGCACGCTTCTTTATTCCCACGGTATGGGAATATAGAGCGATTTATCCAAAAGAAAGGTTTGATAATCTTAGAACAAGATTCATAACGTGAAACTCTACGCGTGTTGCGTCCCCATCAAGAAACCTTAGTATTTCATGACTTTCATTTTGTTTACAATAAAAGCTGCCAAGTGAGTATTTACACATGCCTAAAGTTATTATATGGCAGATATGCTCATAATAACATTATCCTCTGAAACTCGATGATATGTTGTGTTGAAAAGTACACCGATATACGTAGAAGATGGAAATACTAAGATGACACATCATTTGTATACATGGTGATTGGAAATTCGACCTCTTCTCTGAAAGTGGTGATTCTACAGGTTATTTGTGATAAATTAATTCCCATCAATTGGGGGTCGAAAATGAGTGGTTTCCGAGATATCGGCATCTCAAGATTTTTTAAGAATTTTCTGCTTACTGATCAATACATTTTTTTTTGTTAAAATCTACTCATTTCTTGGAACTGAATTGATGGTTTTCTGAAAGCTGTGAAACTAACAAATAGAGATAAGAACGCTCTACCAAAAGTTTGAAACTGTTGGAAATAAAAGGCTGTTAGCGAAGAGATTTTGATTTTTGTTTATTTCCGAAAATCATCATAAGTTACTTGAAATAAAATGTATGACATTTGGCATACAGATTACTAAATGATTCCAGAATTTCATAAGCTTTCCCAAACCATACATATCTGATTAACTATTTCAAGCATTTGAATAAAAAAAACAGGAGCCATCGATTAGAGGTAGTAGATTTCGTAAATCCAATTTTCACAAAACAGCTTTCTCGGAATAAAATGCATCGTATTTCTACGTGTCAAACTTACTCGTTTAACTCCGTAAGTATTCGGGTGTGCCCATCGGAGTGTTCAATGAGGTTCGTGATGAGTCATAACCGACAGTTTGTTTATCGCTTAGTACCAACTATCTTTGGAATTCAGACGTGTTGTATCGTGTTGTGATCTTACTAAACATTCCTGCAAATTGTCTGTATGTGTAATGGCTGCTTACGAAAATAAAGAATACGCCGACATTATGTATTGTTACGGGTTTTGTTATGGTGACTTTGCTGCAGCACGAAGAGATTACCAAAGGCGTTTACCTGATATAAGCGTGTTTGGCACTACTTACCGACGCATTCAAGAATCTGGCTCGGTTCATCGATGACAAATAGACGCTGGCAGACCTGCCATCCATAATGCTGATAAAGAAGAAGAAATTTTTTCGAGCAGATTTTTTAAGAATTTTCTTTTTACTGAATAATACATTTTTTTTTTAAATCTACTCATTTCTTGGAACTGAATTGATGGTTTTCTGAGAGCTGTGAAACTAGCAAATAATTGAGATAAAAATGCTATACCAAAAGTTTGAAACTGTTAGAAATAAAAGGCTGTTAATGAAGTGATTTTCATTTTTGTTTATTATTTCCGAAAATCATCTTATTTGAAATAAAATGTATGACAGTTGGCGTACAAATTGCAAAAATGATTACAGAATTTCATGAGCTTTCAAAAACAGTACAAATTAAACTTTTTCAGGCATATTCTAAAAAAAGCGTACAAAGGGTACTGTAGGTACAACTAAATTTTTAAATTAAATGAGCTCGGTAAAGTTTGAAATCTAATTAATTAAAGAAAAACATGTACTTTATAAAGAATTAATGAAACAAACACAACGTTGGTACTTAAAAACTATAAATCTTGTTCAAATTGTCTGCCATTGTTACGTATGCAAGCACGTAGCCTAAGACATAGTTTGGTCACGGTCACTTTTGTTGAAAGATTGCGTTTCATCTCGTCGGTGGCTGCCAAAATCCTCTGACTCAAATCTTCGATATCTGCAATGGATTATTGTACACCAATTGTTTCATGTGACCCGAAATGTAAAAATCGCAAGGCGTTAAGTCCGGACTTCTCGCCGGCCACGGCGACCCATCTCTGCAGATAGTTTTCATTCAGCCATTGTCGTACACCTTGAAAATTATGGGCTGGGCAGCCATCATGCTGGTATATCATATTGATTCTCCTAGCTAGCGGAGCATCTACTTAATTTCTTAAAAAGTTTTCATAAGTGATGCCATTTAAATCGTCGGGCAAGAAAAAAGGTCCAACCTATTTATTATGTCTAATTCCCATCCAAACGTTTAACAAGCATCTTCTCTGGTGCTTGCCTTCCTTGAATTGTTTTGGATTTTGAGATTTAGGGGCCCAATAGTGGGCGTTGTGGTAATTTGTAATACCATCACGATCGAATTTCGATTCATCAGTTCAAAGAATAGGTAGTCTGGGTTTTCAATATCGGCATGAATTAAGAATCTACAAAAGTCAATGCTCCGTGCGTGCACTGGAGTGTAAAGGTATGATAAAGTTGCGCTGTATGAGCAATAAACCAGCATTTCCATTGGGATAAGTTGCCGTGCCACTTGTCTAGTTGACACAGTGGGGTCTGCTCGAAAAAACTAAAATTTCTTCTTCTTCATCAGCATTATGGATGGCAGGTCTGCCAGCTTCTATTTGTCATCGATGAACCGAGCCAGATTCTCGAATGCGTCGGTAAGTAGTACCAAACACACTTATATCAGGAAAACGCCTTTGGTAATCTCTTCGTGCTGCAGCAGGGTCACCATTACAAAACCCGTAACAATACATAATGTCGGCGTATTCTTTATTTTCGTAAGCAGCCATTATACATACAGACAATTTGCAGGAATGTTTAGTAAGATCACAACAGGATACAACACGTCTGAATTCCAAAGATAGTTGGTACTAAGCGATAAACAAACTGTCTGTCATGACGCATCACGGACCTCATTGGACACTCCGATGGGCACACCCATACTTACGGAGCTAAACGAGTCAGTTTGACACGTAGAAATACGATGCAGTTTATTCCGAGAAAGCTGTTTTGTGAAAATTGGATTTACGAAATCTACTACCTCTAATCGATGGCTGCTGTCTTTTTTTTTAAATGCTTGAAATAGTTAATCAGATATGTATGGTTTTGGAAACCTCATGAAATTCTGCAATCATTTAGTAATCTGTATGCCAAATATCATACATTTTATTTCAAGTAACTTATAATGATTTTCGGTAATAATAAACAAAAATCAAAATCTCTTCGCTAACAGCCTTTTATTTCCAACAGTTTCAAACTTTTGGTATAGCATTCTTATCTCAATTATTTGCTAGTTTCACGGCCTTCAGAAAACCATCATTTCAGTTCCAAGAAATGAGTAGATTTTAAAAAAAAAATGTATTGATCAGTAAGCAGAAAATTTTTAAAAAATCTTGAAATGCCGATATCTCGGAAACCCCTCATTTCCGACACCCAGTTGATGGGGATTAATTTATCACAAATAACCTCTAGAATCACCACTTTCAGGGAATATGTCGAACTTCCAATCACCCTGTATATATACTCAAACGTATACCTTTTATAAACAATTATAACTGCAAACAAGCATGCTTCCGATTAATGCCTTCTTTACAAACAAAAACTCAGGAGAATAGAAGAGCATAGTCCAAACTTCACTAGGACCTGTCTTAGGAAAATTTACCTCGCTGTGCATCTCGCAGCGATGCTTTACCCCATTGCCATTACGAAAGCCCCCGGTTCAACTGAAAGCTGTGAGTTTTATTAACATCAAGGTAACATCATCATCATCAAGTGTCCAATAAAGATATTCTTTAATCAAAATCTAAGTCTACCTTGACTATTATATACAGCGTCGCTTAACGTGAAAAAATATTCGCATTGAAAAAAGGAGCCACTGTTACCCTCGTGCCAGGGGGGTGGTTATAGATGCACTTCCCTGCACGATGAATGTTACTTCTGGGGTTCAAAGTGGTTGTTGATTTGGAGGATTAGGGCGCTGGGGGAAATGAAAAGATTGCCAATTTCCAGAGCTTGCTCAAAATCTATTTAACTATTTTTTAATAAATCACCTGAAGAGTGCTATTACAAGGTTTGCAACAAACTACCTGAAGGGTGCTATGACAGGATTTTCAAGTATTCAAAATGATCAGAGTAAGCTGAAAATTTCACTTTGCAATGGTTAATCGATCACCTAACAACAAATGAAAACGAACATTAGTGACTTACGAAGTTTCCGGGGGTATGCATACCTCAGGATCACGCCAGCTGTGAAGTTAGGATAAATAATTCAGATTAAGTGAAATTAGCTGCTTAAGTATATAGATGCAGTTCGACGGGGTTTCAGCACATGGCGTCTGTGGACATTGGCAACAGCTGAATCAGCTCCCTTCCTAAGGGGCTGCTTGGAACTCTCATTACAGGGCAGGGCGTGGAAAAGTCGTCAGGGCTTCATCTGAAGGTATCAGCAGTAGTTTGGTGGAGAAAACGTAAGGTGAAGAAGACGAAAAGTTGGAAGAAGATGAAAAAGTTGGAAGAAGATGAAAAAGGCCTGAAACATAAATCCAATATGGCGGGTTCCATTTTAACGCTAGCCGAATTGCTTACCTCTGTTGGAGTGTGGCCTAAAAGTGTCGGCTAGAACGCCGTAAAAGCGTCGAAGACTCCCGTCTCCCACATCCCCGTAGGATTATATAAGACATAAAAAGGAAGAACGCTTAGACTTTGTTTGGCGTGAAGATCCGCAAAATGCGTGCTTCTCAACAGAGCTACGACCAAAAAGGACCGAACACTTGTCAAAATGTAACATTGAGGTTAAGAAAGAAACGAAGACGTAAACAATTCTCAGATGAAGGGGCCTCAACTACAAAATGAGATAATAGGTGGAGAGTTACGTATAAACCATAGAGAAAATCTTCAGGTAGTTAAACTAGAAATATGTCTACCCTTGTTTAGTGTTTACGATTATTGCAGGGTCACGGCAGTTCCTACAAGGTTTGGACAAAGTTTAGGGCTGATCCCACGGACCACGATAGCACCTAGGACTTAAGATTGTGAATCTAGTCTTGGTAACCGCTCACAGTGTACAATTTTCAGCTAATAAATCTTGAATTCTGAGGGGTAAGAGTATGATTTCAAATTAAACCCGTAACACCACATAAATTGGATTACTATGTATGTATACGTATATTTCCTATAGTAGTAATAGTAATTTATTATGCTTATTATTAACCTTATCTAAATTATACTTTGGACAATAGTTGTTAGCTTTATCTTATCATTCACTATCTGAGCTCGAATCAACTTCGGCACTTGTATATCGGAAATAGATGGACATTTCAGTAAATTTATAGCTGCAGAATCATGTTCCTTTTCAAGACAAATTTGTGAGGTCTTTGAAACAGAAAATACAGGAAGATAGTTCAATAAACCTTCATTGGAGTGATACGTTTATTTTTTTCTAGTTCCGTGCTCTGGAATAAATTTAAAGTCATTATTTTTTGCTTACCAAGGTTCTTCATCAAGCTGGCCGATACTGCTGCAAAGTAGTGCCATGAACACGGTTTCATACTTTTTCCAAAACTGTCTGATAACGTATCGGAATATCATTTTTCTCCAAAACATGTAATCAACTCACTAAAAGACATATTTCTTCTTGAATTCTTACATAAAAGCCCTTTTTAGCATAACTCCAAATGAATCAATACCGAACATAAAAAAGGAAATGGCACTTTTTGATATGCTGTATTGACATAATACATTAAACTTCTAAACAAGTCAACTTCAAATCCTGCAAAGACAAGACAAATCTTTAAACCCTGTCATGCCGAGGAAGACTGACAATATTTTTATTATTGTCAGTTTTGGAAACTCTAGACTCAATAAGAAAGCAAAAACAACGCCATCAGTACCAAACATGACAAAGACAAATAACTGAACACAAGATAATCAGATGTTAATTGATACGGACAAAAATGATGAAATCGCAAGTACAATTATTGTAGGACGCCTTTATAGCTTCCTTGATTTTCATAGTCTTTCCTCTCCTTCAGAAAGGCTGGGATATTTCTACATTTTTACTGTGCCGTTTCAGCGTAAGCGCTCTCCTCTTGTCAGGCTATGTTTTCTTCTTGAATTGTAGGAAATTTTAGGCTATATAACAGAACATGAACAATTTGATGCAAATAGATATTTGTAACATAACCTCAAAATAGAGCGCTGACACAGAACAACAGAAAACAATGAAAATCAAGGAGGCCATAAAATAAAGGCGTCCTACATTTTAGGAACGACTGGCGATACTGCCCTAAATGATTCTGATGGGTATTAACTAGCATGTACAATACCGACGACAAACATCACAAATATAATGACATATCTCTCATAAATTGCGAGGCTAGATCTCTGCGAGGCGTAACACCACGATGGATAAGCAGTGCGGCGAGGTGCATTCTCCGTCATGTTTTCATCCTGGCTGAGCGACAGCAACTAAATGACTGTCTCAAATTCTTGGATGCAGCTGGTTTTTACTTTTCACCGTCGAAACGAGGAATCATTTTGCGTAATATTATGCTTACATTCTGAACAAAATAAAAAAATACTCACCACGGCATCCCTAACGGCAACCAACTTGTCTCCAACCTGGAGCCGTCCATCAACCTGAGCAGCTCCCCCCTCCATCACCTTGGTGACGTAGATGCCATTGTCGCCGGGGATGTGTTGGTTGCCGATACCCCCAGCGATGCTGAAACCCAGCCCCTTGTTGCCTTTCACCAGCTCGATCTCGTGCAGACGCAGGGGGTGACGAGGAGCTCGACGGCGACGAACCAGCTGAAAAAATAGAGAAAGAGATTAATTACTGTAGTGATCACAACAAATGGCATCAAGTAGACTGACTCTGTACTTCCCACACAATTTCAGCTTATATTCAGTTTATTTTCAAGCCAAATTTCAGGATTAAAAAAATCGACCAAAGCAATTGCAGGTGAGATCTAATGTCAACATATCTGGGACATATTTCTAACAGTCTGAATATAATTCTGTACCCCAGAGCCAGACTAGGTTAAGTCCATTTTTGTCAAAAATGAGTTTAATACGTTAAGCTTATGATAATATTGTGAAATTTCATTTTCTACAGGCAGCGTCCATCTATCTTTAATAATAAGGAAGTTACGACTTTTTAACTTATATCAAGTCGTATTCAATACAATGCAAAAAAATATTTCATATACAGGGTGTTTGGTGCATCGTTTGCCAAATTGAAATGGCGGACAGAGGAGGTCTTTTTCTATCATCCCAGGTCCCTCAAACAGTTTTCAGCCCAACGGAATTAATTATGTAGATTTTTTTATTTTTTTTTAGTAAAACTCCAAAATGTAATACACAAAGTGGAATAAAAATAAATTAAGAGTATGTCCACCTAATGATTAATTTATCTTAATGGGTGATGTACCAATCTTGCAAAATCAACATTACTTGCCAGCAGCATGTAGTTTTTTATTTATAAACTCACAAAGGGTTACAAAGAAGAACAAAAAAATGTAAGTCTCAATTCTGAATTTCTGTAAAAAAAAACTAAAAGCGTTCACGTTCTTAGAATTATTTTAAAAACTACTCTTAGTTTATCCCGATTCTAACGGTATGCCACAAGTCACAAAAAAGTTTAACTTATTGAGTTTGCAAATTTTGTGTACAGGGGAAGGAAAATAAAAAAACGTGTAGAACCAAATTACAATCTTTTATTTTTTCTGTTTTACAAATCTTGTTCGAATTGTTGTCCTCTATTGCGTATGCACGCACGACACCTTTGTCTTATCTCGACTGTTGTCGTACGTAGGCGAATTTCTTGCCGAATCGTACCAAACGCCTCTTCTATTCTTCGGATCAACTCCTCCCTTGTTCCAGCTCCTGTAGCGTAGACGAGTGCTTTTCACGTCCTCAGATGTAAAAATCCAATGGAGTTAGGTCTGGGGAGCGTGCAGGCCATGGAATAGGACCATCTCGTCCAATCCACGCATTAGGAAAAACATCATTTAGATGTTCCCGCACAATTAGCCTCCAGTGTGTAGGATAGCCGTCATGTTGGAAAACACAATTCGTCTATCGCCATTGAAAATTGGCACCTCATTCACCAATTCGGGCAACTTATTTTGCAGAAAATGTAGATAATTATCTTCGTTAAGACGATCTGGCAAATAATGTGGCTCAATCACATGATCGCCAATTACTCCTGCCCAAACATTCACACTGAATCTTCTCTAGAAAGAGCTTCGCCTCTTCACTCTTGGGTTCTGATCTTTTGAAGCCAAATGGTGCAGATTGTGCAAATTTAGTATCCCTTCCTTGGTGAATTTGGACTCATCCGTTCACAGAATTCTTGTCCGGATCGTCCACGTCTGTGTGCAGCAAAAAACAACAAAACCGGACTTGGTTGTCGAAGTCACTGTTTTCAAGACCTGCAATCAAAAAAATACGGGCAACATTAGTTTGCCGCTGCTAGATGCTAAACAAAAGCGATAAGAAGTTTCCATTGCAGACACTTATGTTTGATAAAAAAATGACGTACCTTGTACAGGAGTGTAGTGGAAGGCATGTTCATTATTCTGGTGAAGGACTTTCAACACTTTCCAAATTGAAATTCCCAGTCATGAAGCTACATTTCGGATGCTTTGAGTAGGATCTTCCTCGACAAGTGCCAAAATCCTCTCACCGATGTCAACATTGTGTCGCACTACGACATGTCTTGGTACATTATTGCTCACAGTACCGGTTTCTCGTAAGCGTCGATAAGTGTTTTGGAATGTGTGGCGACACATGTTAGGATATCGCTCTTCGTAGATTCTTTGCGCTGCTCGTGCAACACAGTTGGCTTGTCCGTACACCAACAACATGTCTGCATACTCTTCATTTGTAAATGCAGCCATCATCAAAACAGAACTCAACGAAAACTGCCAAAACAACAACAATCACAGGTCGCGTAGTGGTAACAAAAGCGTTAGGCAGCCAACAGGGACGAACCTCCATGGAAAAATGGACCACGTCGTCCCTGTCGGTTAGCCGCTCAACTAGTAAAAGAGAGAGACAGATGATACTGCTCCGCTGTGTACGAGAGAGACAAAAGTTTTTACCTGAGTTACGTTGTACGTGTAAATTACACAACAGAAACAAAAAATTCATTGTTATTATCCGACCGAAAAAATTTTTACCCTGTACACAAACTTTGTAAATTCAAGAAATTATGTAAAGTTTTTTGTGACTAGAGTAGTTTTTAAAAGAATTCTAAGAACATGAACGCTTTTAGTTTTTTTTAAAGAAATTCAAAATTGAGACTTGCATTTTTTTGTTCTTCTTTGTAACCCTTTGTGAATTTATAAATAAAAACCTACATGCTGCTGGCAAGTAATGTTGATTTTGTAAGATTGGTAGAACATCACCCATTAAGATAAATGAATCATTAGGTGGACATATTCTTTATTTTTTTTATTTCAGTGTGTGTATTTTGGGTTTTTAATAATTAATGCTGTAGGGCTAAAAACTGTTTGAGGGACCTGGGGTGGTAGAAAAAAACCTCCCCTAGTCTGGCTCTGAGGTACAGAATTTTAATATTATGTTTTTGGCCACATAACGTAATGTGGTGCATTAAAACGAAAGTGGTACAAATTAAGCCTTCTCCGAAAGGCGTAACTAAGCACATGTACATGAGGGCGGACCGATAAGTACTTAGCCTCACCGCCTGGTGGCGCCACTATCTCAAGAGAAATTTACTATCGTGTAGTATATTCTCGTAAACGGCTACTGTCAAAATTTCAGCCGAATTGGACTCGTAGTTTTGTTTTGACTGTGTGTGAAGCAGGCGTGTCCGCAGACTTAAGAAAAATGGAACGAGCAATATCGGTCGGTGATTCGATTCCTGTTTTTGGAATGTATATTGCGCAGCGAAACCAAAGAGCGCTTGAATGCTGTGTACGGTGACCTTCTCCTTCGATGGCCATCGTCAAAAATTTGTTCAATGCGGTCGTACGTCGGTTTTTGATGAGCCATACCCAGGTGCCCCGAAAACGGATACCACGAAGGATAAAGTGACAAAAATCCATGATCTCGTATTGGCAAACCGCCGATTGTAGGTGCGCTGGATACCTGAGACAGTACGCATCTCAAAAGACCGCGGGGGACATACCCAGCATGAAATATTGGGCATGAGAAAGCTGTCTGCGCGACCAAACATGGATCCACTGGTACACACCAGAGACCAAGGAACAGTCGAAACAGCGGACGTACTCCGAAGAAGACGAATACTGTCCTATTGGCCGGAAGGTGACGGACTCCGTTTTCTGGGATTCACATGAACTACCTGGAGAAGGGCAAAACGGTCACAGAGCTCTACTATGCCGAATTATTGGCCGAGCCGACGCCGAAATGCAGAAAAAATGGCACCATTTGGCAAAGAAAAAAGTGCTCTTCCATCCTGACAACGCACCAGCTCACACCTCCGCCGTCGCCACGACCTAATTGGTCGAAATATACTACGAACTGTTGCTCCACAGTATTATCCAGATTTGGCCCCGTGCGACTACTTTTTGTTTTCAAACTTGCCGGGTACAAATTCACGAAGGCCTACTTTGCAGACCTCCAGAACACGTATTTTTCAAATGGGTAAAAGAAGTTGGAGCATCGATGGGTCAAGTGTATCGAGCTAAAACTAGTATGTTCAGAAATAAATCGTCACTTTTCAAAAATGTTCGTTTTTTTTGTAGGCTAAGTATCTATCAGACCGCCCTCGTAACAAAAAAAAATAGTCTCTCGTCTATTCCTGTATTCAGAAGACTCAAATGGAACCGAAACTCAACTGGGTGTCCCCTTATGAATTTAGTTGCACCTTCACCATATTTGCGAATACAAATCGTATTTCGTTTCGCGTAAAATATGCGCTGATATTGTGACTGCATTATTATTAAATATCGTATTATAGAGCAAATATTATATGAGGTATGAGATTTTTTATATATATAGACAAAATGTACTACTTATCATTTGAGGAGTACTATTGTGAAAAATGTCAATATATATAAATATACTAAGCACAAGAAAAATCTACGATTTCGTCCCATCTTGGAAACACAGTAGCGCAACGTCCACCTGACTGGTGGATACTGGGGGCATGTTTGCAAGTGGGCGTTACTTGTAGCTCGATAGGCGTGGGAGCAGGGCACTTGGTAAACGGGTAAACAGTATTCAAAGCGTAGCATTGTCTACTTGCGTTACTGAATTATTTGTGTCAATAATAGATTCGCAGAAAGGTAGAGTTATTTACAGCCAGGCGAGAGAAGTAATAGCCAAAGTAATAAATGGATGTGATGAGGAAGCCTCGAGTAAAGCTCTCATCCACCCACTTGTTGTTCGAAATGCTAGAGCAATTTTGAGGCGAACATTTGACACTAAGACACCATCACGGTAAGACGACTATCTACTCAATTGATTTTCATTCATTTTGTTAATGACCAATAATTGCTTATTCATTTATTGTTACGTCTTAATAATTTCTTATATCTTATTTTCACTTCCCGTACATTAATGCACGCCACCTATGACTTCGGATTACCTATCTTCCGTCCCCTGTCTCTCACTCTTCCGTCTCTCGCAGACTCTCGAGTGTTAGACTTTATATTTCACCGGCAAATGTA